TTGTATTGTATTTATGCCAATTTATATTTAAATGATAATTTTTACAAATTCTTGCTTCATAACTCTAGTTAACAGAAGATGTTTCTAACTCCTTGGCAAAGCTTAATCTTCAGCACGTAGCTTATTTTCTCACCTAGTTTCAGGCTGAATTATTTGTAAAATTAGTTACTTGAAATTATTTGTTAATAAAGATGGTCGCTAAATCACGCTAATAATATCTCTAACTGTTGTAATTTATAATGCAACGAGTTCATGTGATTTATAATATAATTCATTTATAATTTTTTTCAGCAGTATTGAAATTAATAGCAGATACTGATAATGATATACATTTAGATTACAATGATTTAGATTGCCATTGCCTTCTTCACTCATGCTTTTATGCTACATTCCTAATATTTCATAATGGCATACAAGTAAGTTTAACTCATTCACCAAACATGTAAATCTCTAATTCAGCCCACTTTTGTTCTTACGTGTGCTGTATCTTCTATTTTCTTTAATATATTGTTCAACCTAAATTCAAAAGGTCTTATGATCAAGCGGTAAAGGCACTAAACATTGGTAGTTCGACACGAGTTTCTAGTCCCAGTGATCCCCTAGCTCTTTCTTTCTTTTTTTTTTTTTTTTTTTTTTTTTTTTTGTACTTATTTACTGTGTAAAAATGTATAGTAAAAATTTCAGTTCATGAAGTAAAAATACTTTTAAAATTTATTCTTTAAAAATATTGCAAAATTTTTCACCTTAGCATATCTTTTTACAAATCCCTCTGATAAGAAAAAGTAAAGAAAGAAATTCGGTGTTTCGGTGATTGATAACTCAGTGCAATTTATGCGTAACTTTTTCCAAAAGCATAGAGTTTATATGGATATCATTAAATTATGGATTATTTCTCATCTAATTTTCTTAACATTTTTATTCCAGAATTTTCCTTTCACACTGTAGTGTTTAACTTTATGCGTTTTCTATAATAATTTACATTTGTTTATAATTTTACGCAAGTGAAAGTGATTATTTAATTGTATAAGCTTTGCTGAAAGATAAACGAGAAACAAAATTCTTTCACCTGCGGTCAAGAGAGTGTTTGATGTAATAATTCTTATATATTTTCTTTGATAGTTTTTATTTAATTTCTTTCATTTATGCATTACTACATAGTTCTTTTCAAAAAATATTTTTCTGTGCCGCTATGTCCGTATTTCAGTTTCAAGGACAAATATATTAGAATAAGTGGTGACTGCTGAAACTGGAATTTAGACAGAGTCTTGCTAAGGGTTTAAGTCCCTTTTTATTCAACTTAAGAAATTACAATTGCGTGCTCTTGACGCTCACAAACTACGCCGACCCGGCGGTAAAATAAAAATAAGAACCTGAAAAGAAATAATAACAAGACTTTAACTACGAGGCTCTCTAAACGTAACTAACCTCACCGCGTTCTACAATACCGCTGCTAATTCAGCAAACTTTGAATATCACGTTGAACGATTAACAATTCTCCGAGCCAAGCACACAGGCCGAAACGCGGGGTTCTTCAATTTCTGGCTAACTACATCCGCGATCGTGAAGTAAGAACAGCACACCTCGAACTCGTTTCCATTCTATTTAACTCAGAATACTTCCGCTGATAATTTGAATCCTTGTGCGTTCTACTAAAATTTACATACTCTGGCATTGGCAGTTCCAGGGGAAAGTAAGGCTTGACAGGAAAGATAGTTTAAACTTAAAATAAATGTTAGTTAAAATAAATATAAACCCTGCAGGGGAATGATAATATTTCTCTCTGAATTTTGAATGAAATGCTTCACATGCATTAGTTGTTCTTTCCGATGAAATATCAGCGCAAGCCCAAAGTATCGGGGGAAATTTTGCATCCTCATCTAGGTAGTTCTCGGTTATGTAATCCAGTGCTCCGCAACCGGTGTGCCATGAGTAGGATATAGGTGTGCCGCGATCAACACATGTATTTGACATTTTGCAATTTTTTATCTTGTATTTAATACACAATGACATTTTTTTTTCTTAATAATGTCTATTTTTTAATGCTTTATATATTTCACTGTTGTGTGGTTGTGTGTGTGATTGTAAGTGTGTCAGCATTTGAATTTTTTCGGCACTTCCTTGATAACTCGGAACTCTTTGGTGTGCCACGAAATTCCAGAAAGATTTTTTGTGCGTCGCAGGTGAGAAAAGATTGCGGAGCACTGATGTAATTAGTAAAGCGTGTGATGTTTGCATCCCGTGGTTGCTCTGACATCAGATCTTTAACGAAGCTATCCGAAACTTCAGTAGCATCCAAAAAGGGTAATCCAAAAACCAGTCGAAGCCATCTGCCGATTTCTGAATTACCATTCCTATATTTTTGCTGCAATCCGCACTGTTGAAGTTTTTGCCACCAAGCTTGAGTCAAGTGGAATGAATCTACATCCTGTAATAGAACATTCAGGCCACATTTTTCTCACAACTTCATGGATTGCATATTCAAAATCTGCCACCACAATTTCTGGCTGAAAATTCAAATGCAAGTTAGAACAGAGTTCTTTCAGTTTTTGAAACATAAAGTTTCGTATATTGCCGTAGACTTTCCTGGTAGGAAAAAAAAAAAAAAAAAAAAAAAAAAAACAAGTGGGATATAATGTCCATTTTCCACTGTATGAAACGTAAACATCTGAAAGAAAAATTTTTGGCAAAGTGTGAAAGTGCCATCAACAAAAAACTTTTTTTTGTCACATAAGATCCTTAAATTTGAATCTGTTGAAAACAAACTATATTATTCCTATCGTCATTAATCTGAAGAAGATTTTCATGTCGATACGATATCACTTGCATTACATTTAATGCAGAATGCACATCAGAAATACATTTTGGAAGTGGAGGTAGGACTTTCCTTCTCTGTCGGTACATATTTCTCCGAATACAGTGAACATCATGGCTACGAACGATATCTGAATGATGAGCTGCAACACTAGTCAATTCTTTCCTGATTAATTTCTGAGGTTTTTTAGATGTATCTTCCGTTGCTTTCTGTTTAACACCGTTTGAAACGACTTGTCTAGAAATAGTCTTGCAACGCTCATGATAGTGACACAGATAAGATTTTGATAACACGTTATTTTTCTTATCAAGATAAAGTGTTGCTTTGCATTTTTTACTTGTACAACGCCATTTTTGGTACTCTGCTTTTCCACAGTCCTTATAAAATTTATGCCCTGAAAAAAGAACGAGAATTTTTCCTCTCTGACTGCGAATAAACTCCATCATAGGTAAATATGCTTAAATAACATGCCAATTTTAATTCAAGGTTGAATTTATAACAGAAGCAATATTTTTATATGTTTTTTCACCAAGATAGTCAAAGAATCGTTCGGAACTGATTGAAAATTTAGCTATTTAAGGAATATACACTGACTTCCGGTTGTAGGTTTGAAAAAGGTCAGAGCCAATAGTTGTGCTCATGAAGAATGCCTTGTAACCCCACATGTAGTTACAAAGATGACTTTATTGCCTGCAAGAGTATTATGAAACCTTCTGCAAGTCCTCTGAAAATTTCTTTTGTGTTACAGAGCAATTAACAAAAGTAAATCTAAAGCGATGTATAAAAGAAATTAAACAAACAAAAAAGAAACGATTTTTCACAGACAATTCAGTGTTTCTCATCAATTAATTCAGTTCTTACTTCACGACAAGGCAAAAATACATATAAATTCAACATATCTGTATTAAAAATTACGAAGTAAATCTTAAACACTTATTTCCTGGAATAAATTCCAGAAAGGATTAAGCATGACTTAATTCGCAATAATAATAAAAGAAGGCGTTATCTTTGTTGTTGCCGAAGCTTAGTTTCTCTAGATTGGCAACAAATCCACTATTCATTTATAAAAAATATATTTCTTTATTTTTATTTTCCTCTTGGCTACAGTTGGCTTCGAAAAATAAAATTGTAACCCTGTAGGCAACGGGGGAAAGACATTTTGATGGGCGCAGTTGGACTATAGCAGGACGAGGGGGGGGGGATTTTCATCAGCGCAGTTGGAGTACACCCCAATTAAGATGGTGATACTGATATTCGACTAAGAATAGCGAAATTGTCGTATTTTTCAACAAAGGTACATTATACAGCTTTATTTCTCCTGTTTGGTTCTAAGTTTTGGTTTGAATAATTTTTAAACACTAATGGATTTTGTACTATATCCCGTATTACGAAAAAGTAATCTCTCATATCCCTCATAAAGGGCTCCATATCTCGAATAGCTTAGGATTTCATCAAAACTAAATCTGGTCCTGATTTCCAGACATTTCATATTCATTTTAAAAATAATATATTTTCAACATTTTTATTGCTGTTGTTGCTGTCGCTTGTTGATGTATAAGCAGAACATGCACAGAACAATCTTTGAAGTAACTGTAATCCCCTTCCTTGGGGGTCTAACGAATTCCAGAGAAGTCCGAATTTCTCTGTTCCTGCTTAATATAAATTTATGTTTTTCGGAAATGTAATAACAAACAAATGTTCAAAACACAAAAAAGTAAAGTATTTCAAAAATTAAACCAAACTCAATCATTCATTTATTTCAGCGCCATGTCTCCACTGATTCCAAAGTTTTAACGTAGTTGACCAACCACAGCATCTTTAACGATTCGAACTTTGTTTACCTTTTGATCTGATACAAAATACATATGAAATTATAAACCATAGACATAGGAAATAGGAAACAAATTAAAAACTACAATAACATTCTTCGCGGATGATATAACAGCAATAGGCATAAAAAAAAACCATGAAACATTTCCGTATTCTTTTCAATGGTTTAAGCTTGATTAGAGGAGCGAGAACTCGGATGTTATAAAAAACAAATCATGATTGTGCAACCGATTGAGAGAAAAAAAAATTGCGAGTAAGAAATAAATACAAATGTAGGACCAGCACAGACCGGATTGATACGACCTTCTAAAGTGGCTGCATGTGCCCATGACGTCATAGGCCAACACTAGTTGCCCACAGCTTGCAATACGTGGGCGCAGTCCGTGGATGTTCCACCAAAAAAGGGAACTTATGAATCTTCGAAAGTGTGCACATATTTGCTTGCTTTATGGAAACATTGTTTTTACGACGTTAGGTTTGTTTAAGTGAAGAATTTATAATAGAGATGAAACATTGAAATTTCTGTCAATTATTCAGAATGGGAAGTTAGTAAGCAAGAAATAAGTGATGACGAAGATTTAGTCTTTGAGATGGAAATCGCCAATGAATCATTTGCTCCTCTGACCGAAACTGACATCCCGTATATTGATGGAGAGATGGATAATCCAGTAAGCAATTATTCTTTGGATTTTTTGCGTAACTAAGTTATGATTGAAATATCAATAAAAATTACATATATTAGTTAAGAAATACATAACATAGATTTTGATCATAAATATATAAACTTACATGTTTATTACTCTCTATATTTATTATTATACTATATGTAATGGTGAATATTTTTTTTAAATAGCAGTTTAAGAAATAGTTTGTGTTTTTATATGGAAGCTGTATGTGGTGTACATTTATAATAGTGAAAATATCGATTTCTAAGGTTTACTGCCATAAAAATTTTAAAATATTATTTTCGGTTTCTGCGTGTTTCTATGCTCAACTACTACTAACGGAGTTCATACGAAGATTCAATTTCAAGGCGGCATTCTGTTTTTAACATAAATTTGAAAATTTAAGGATTTTTAAGATCAGAAAATTATTATTCAAATTATTTTGTATAAAAATGTTTTATTAATTTAGTTTCTCAACTTGTCTACTTTATACTTAACCTGTTTTGAAATAAACACATTTTTAAAAAATTCTGTGCATTTCAGTTACATTAAAAATTAAATATTTTATTAGGCAATTATTATTTGAAATAAGAAAAATGTCGATACTAGTACAGAAGAAATTGGTTGATCTTTACAATATGGTAACTGGTAGTTTGGCGACATTTTGGAGGCGATAAAGGTTACTACCTGGGACTTTGGTAATAATGTGAGCAGTACTCAGTTCCGATTACGCATTATTTTGTGTGAGGGAAATGAGAGATCATGGGATATGTCAAGTGATATTAATGGACGAATTACGGTTCTTTAATCGGAAATAAGGGGGAAATCGGGAAAAAATCTGGAAATTTTGTATTTGGTTCATTCTGTATTGTGTGAAACAGTGTCGTGAATTTTTGGATCCCATGGCCGTAACTAAAGAAAAGTTTATCGGACACGTAATCAAGATTCTGAAGAAGATTAGGTAAGTTAGTATTTTTAATTATTTGAGGATATTATTTTTATGCATTGTTCTAAATGTAAGGTGGAAAAAGGAATTTGGTATTATTGGGAAAATTGTCATTAGCAATGATAGTTATTTTGTGAATTTTATGTTTGTAGGAATTTGGTATACGTTTAAGTTGAAGTAAACGTGCATGGAAATAATTTAAATATTTGATACTAAGTATTTGTAATGCTTGCGGTATGAATTCGTTGGTGACGTGTATAATGTAATAGATGATTTAGAGGTAAAAGTTTTTGGATATTTTATTTATTTTATATGTGAAATGTTCATATTTGGAAAGGGTAAATACTTTTTCGCGATCAGGTAATTTCATATATGTTCTTTTTTACCGGGTTTAAAGATTGAGAAAATTGTCATGTATTTTCGTGAAATTTTTCTAATTTGTGAGAAAAAAGCAGTGTACATGGATATAGTGAAGAGTGTGCGCAATGCCATTTTTGTGCAATTCTGGGATGTTTCTTTAAGTAAAAATAAGTCGACGTGTACATGGTTTAGTGATATTTTAATTAAATGATAGTTATTTTGTGAATTTTATGTTTGTAGGAATTTGGTATACGTTTAAGTTGAAGTAAACGTGCATGGAAATAATTTAAATACTTGATACTAAGTATTTGTAATGCTTGCGGTATGAATTCGTTGGTGACGTGTATAATGTAATAGATGATTTAGAGGTAAAAGCTTTTGGATATTTTATTTTATATGTGGAAATGTTCATATTTGGAAAGGGTAAATACTTTTTCGCGATCAGGGTAATTTCATATATGTTTTTTACCGGGTTTAAAGATTGAGAAAATTGTCATGTATTTTCGTGAAATTTTTCTAATTTATGAGAAAAAAAAAGCAGTGTACATGGATATAGTGAAGAGTGTGCGCAATGCCATTTTTGTGTGCAATTCTGAGATGTTTTTTTAAGTAAAAATAAGTCGGCGTGTACATGGTTTATGTGTATGTGTTATTTTGAAAAACGCGTAAGGAGTATGGTATTGTGCACTTTTTCCCAATTTTGCAGTGAATATTTGTCATGATTAAGCAGTTTTGTTAGATAAAATTTCTAGCATAAGTGTAATTCGGCTAGTAGATTGTTGGAAGAAGTGTTCAGTAAATAAAAAGAAAAGAAACATGTCTTTACTTCGTGAAGACAAAATGGCGGCGGGAAAAAAAAATAGAGGGTTGCTGTAGGAGAGTTGGTCGCCAAATTTTCGCCAAAAAAACGCCAAGTTACCATAATGTAAAGATCAACCAAGAAATTAATTATCGATTTAGTAAGATGGGCAACCACAGGAGATAATATAAGTAAAGACATAAGAGAATGTCTTTACCAAGTACAGACTATTAATCTTCTGATTGGGGGGGGGCTTTCCTTGAAGACAATTTTAACCAATAGTAAATATCTTTTGAGGACCTACAAATGATGTCGCATCATCTATTATGCGAAGAATTTAATTTTTACTGCGTTTTGCTAGTTATGTATTCTTGCCTATTGTCTTATAAACAACACAAAAAAATCGCGAACGAAATTGCTTCCCAACCAGCACGTAATGAAGCTGCACTAGATATGTCACTCAATTTTGGATTATAAATATGCATTTTATGCTTTGTAGGAACACTCTTCATAAAATACTATTGTACAAATAGTATGAAAGAGATAGGCTGGATTGAATAAGCACTCTTACATGTGTACTAAATTGGTTAGTTTATTTAATTATGGCTATGCACTAATCTGGGGCTATTTTCCTAAGGGAAAGGATGTCTTTGTGAAGGACTTTCTAAGAGAAACTGTCTTGTATACATGTTACACATCGTGGAAAAAACCACGAAAACCCCTATGCGGGCAGCCCCTTCTCCTGAAATCGAACCCAGGTTAGAACTACCAGCGTTCAGCGACTTTACCTCTCGACCGCTGGTGTGCTCGTATATTAAATTGAAGCACGCGTATTAAATTGAAGCTCTTGCAAAAATGTTTAACCTACTCTTTCCTTTCAAAAATTTGGGGTGTATTTACCACGGAGCAGGGCAAACGCTAGGATCTTCGCCGCCGAGTGCGAACTGCGATTCCTTAATTCTGTCGCGAGATTTCTTCTTAAATTCGAAATATTTTGTTGTTTCTAAATTCTGCCGCCAGGGGGCGACTGCACCGCTTTGTATTGTCTTTGGCAAAGGCCTTGTCAGGGAGATGTGAATTCATTTGATTTTAACCTATACCACACTGTCATCACTTCGTCACTTGCAACAATTTTAGTTAGTATAAGTTTTGGTTAGATTAAGTTGCTTATTATTAAGAAAAAATATCATTGTTACCTTCAAATCTTGTTAAATTTGTCATGTGATTTTACCATGAAGCAGAATTTCCAGGTATTTTTGGATTTGCCTTTTGCCTTTATGCTTGAATTCAATATATTTCATAATCAGAAATAATAGCGCAAAAAAAAACTTTTACTTCCGAACTCAACATGCGCATCTAATGGCCGAAATGGTGACCTTGTGAACATTGTTAGTTCTACCGAAGCTAAATTCTAGTGAACGGGCTTGCTGCATGGCAATTTTCATGGTCTTTGCCATGTGTAATGTGAATAAGAGCTATTTTACCGTAAAATATCTTCCACGAAGGTATTTCTTCTAGACACAAAGTCCTTGTGTGCTTTGCCATAACCCAAATTTCTTTTTCTATTCCAACCATCATTTTAAAAACGTGCTGTGGAAATTATCCTTTTCTGAAATTAAAATAATGAAATCGAAAGGAAAAAGTGGTTGCCTTGGACTAAACTGCTGCCTTTAACTAGTTTAAATATTAAGAAGTTTCAAGTACATAAGCATATACAATCCGTTTTTAAAATTTAACAGCTATTCCTAGGCATGGGAAAAATACAGGAAATATTGGGGAGAAAAATAAGTGCGTAGTTGAGAAATTCTACGTCAGTTGCCCGATGTTTTACAGATGGATGTTTCACACATGAGAACATGTCATTTGTAAAAAAACGCCATCGTCAGTTAGATGCCTTCAAAAGTTAGTAATAAGGCTTAAAGTAGCCTTATGATAGTAGAGCGCCGTAGATGCCAAAAAAAGTGGAAACTTGGCCAGAGAAAATTGCTTCCTCATTAGCAGCTTTGGGACTGCTTTTTCAGATCCCATTAAAATCCGAGATTTTATGGTTATATTTTTAAATGTTTGTGCAGTTCAACAGAAAACCAATCAGAATTTGAAAGTCTAAAAGAATTCCCATTTACGTGTAGGATCAAAGTTCTTTTAAATGTTGTTGCGTAGTTTTCACTATCTTAGAAGAAATGTAGTTCAACCTTTGCTTAAGTAATTCCAGCTGACCAATTTCCCTGTTCCAGACAATTTTAGTGATCTCATTTGTGATCGATTCAGTTCGCGCGCTTCTCGTTTATAATCTTTCCTCTTTTAAGAGGAACCTTTAAAAAGCTTTACGTAATCGATTACAGAACTTTGATACAAGTTTTTGTCGATTACATGATAAGAAGTTCATTTGCTTTCACAGCAAGAATATGCCAGCGTGTTTAAAAATGATAAAGAATATGTGGAGGCGAAATTAAATAGTACTTTGGTATAAGCCATGGGTGGACTAGCTCCTTGATAGTCAGGGCCATTTTTCAAAATTTGAAATTTTTTGCGTTGCAATTAAATATGTATTTAAAAAGGTATGCAAAAAAGGTATTAAAAATTTCTTTTACAGAAATTATATTTATTGAAAACATATAAAATAAAAGTACAAAATATGTGTATTGAATTTAAATATTAAACACATTTATTTTACTTCTCTTGATAATCCTTTAAAATTTGATGAATAATTGGTGACAGCACTTCTCAGTATTTCTTTGAGATGCTGGTTAGTTAACACTGATCGTGTTTGGATTTCACGAATTTTAAAATGGAATTTCGAAACAACATAAGTACGTTGTTTCGAAAATTGAAATAATTCGACAAGCAGCCTTTTATAATCAGGATACTTCGATTCTGACACAAATTTCCAAAATTCAG